GTGCCACAACAACTGAAGCCCGCGCTCCTAGACCCCGTGCTCCACAACAAGAGAAGCCACCGCAGTGAGAAGCCTGTGCACCACAACAAAGAGTAGCCCCCACTCGACACAACTAGAAAAAGCCCACACACAGCAATAAAGACCCAAAGCAACCAAAACTAAATAAATAGAAAGTTACAATGTCTGAGTTAAAAATTTAAAAATCACTGCATAGATTAACAGTAAATTAGATACTGCAGAAGGCATTGAAGACATAGCACTAGAAACTATCCAAAAGGAAACAGACAAAAAGAAATAATTTTTAAAAATGAAAAGAGCATCAGTGAGATAAAGAACAATTTCAAGTGGCTGAATACATATACTTTTAGAGTCACTGAAGGAGAAACAAGGTGGAGAGAGAGAAAAATAATGGCCACCAATTTTCCAGGTGGGCTAAAACGGTAAACCCACAGATCCAAGAAGCTTAATAAACCTCAAACACAATAAATTGCTAATGTGAGCAAGACACAGGAGCAACATCTTTAAATTACTAAAAGAAAAATATGCCGACCTAGAATGCTGCACCCAGCCATGATAGCTTACAAAAGCAAAAGCAGAAAGAATTCATCATTAACAAACCTGAAATACAAGAAATAATAAAATATATCCTTCAGGCAGAAAGATAATGAAATCAGATTAAAATATGGATGTATGCAAAAGAACGAAGAACACCAAAAATGTAAGTACATGAGTAAACAATAAAACTATTAATTAAATATACTTAAAGGATAATTACCCTTTTAGGAAAATAACAATGAATTATGAAACTTATGTATATGAGTAAAATGTATGAGAATATAGCATAAAGACTTGGAGGAGAGAAATAAAAGTATACTATATAAGGTTCTTTTACTGTATATGAAGTGTTATAATAGCACTTGAAGGCACACTGTGATATGTTAAATATGAATATATAAACCCTAAAGTAATCACTAAACGAACAAAAGAGAGTTATAATAAATCAACAAAAGAAATAAAATGGAATAATAAATACACTCAATCTAAAAGAAGACAGAAAAAGAGAAGAAAGGAAACAAAGAAAAGTGAAACAATAGAAAACAAATAGCACAATGATAAACTTAAACCTAACCACAACAATATCATATTAAACATAAATGGTCTAAACACCCCAATGTGAAGATAACAATGTCAGACTGAATTAGGAAAAAAAAAAAGAAGAAAAAGAAAAGAATAAAGACCTAAATACATGCTGTCTACAAGAAACCCATTTTAAATATAACGGCACAAGTAATATCAGAGTAAAACAATAAAAAATGGTAAATCATTCTAACACTAATCAGAAGAAAGCTGAGAAAGTTATATTAATATCAGAAAAAAGTAGATTTTGGAGCAAAAAATGTAACATGGATACAGACAACCATTTCACAATGATAAAGGGATTGATTCATCAAGAGAATATAAAAATTATGTTTATTCACTTAATAACAGAGCTTCAAAATGCATAAAGTAAAAACTGATAGAACTATAAGGAGAAACAGATATATCCACAATCATCATCAGAGGTTTCAGTACCATTCTTTCAAGTATTGATACAACAAGAAGACAGAAAATCAGAAAGGATTTAGAAGACTTGAACAACACAATCAACCAATTTGACCTAACACTCATAGATCTAGCACTCATAGAAAAACTCATCCATAAATAGAAGAAAATACATGATTTTAAACTGGACACTGAAAACAATGATGGACCATATCCTGTGCCATAAAACCAGTCTTAATAAATTTAAAATGATCCAGCAACCCCACTCCTGGGCATATATCCAGAGAAAATCACAATTCTAGAAGATACATGCACCTCAGTGTTCATTGCAGCACTGTTTACAATAGCCAAGACATGGAAGCAACCTAAATGTCCATCAACTGAGGAATGCATAAAGAAGATGTGGTACATATATACAATGGAATATTACTCAGCCATTAAAAGGAATGAAATAATGCATTTGCAGCAACATGAATGGACCTGGAGATTATCATACTAAGTGAAGTAAGTCAGACAGAGAAAGACAAATACATGATATCACTTATATGTGGAATCTAAAAAAAAAATTATACAAATGAACTTATTTACAAAACAGAAACAGATTCACAGAGTTAGAGAACAAACTTATGGTTATGGGGGAAGGGTCACGGGGAGGGATAGATTAGGAGTTCGGAACTGACATATACACACTGCTATATTTAAAATAGATAACCAAAAAGGCCCTATTGTACAGCACAGGGAACCCTGCTCAATATTCTGTAACAACCTAAATGGAGAAAGAACTTGAAAATACGTATAACTGAATCACTTTGCTGTACACCTGAAACTAACACAACTTTGTTAATCAACTATACTCCAATATAATACAAAAATTTAAAAAAAAATAAAATGATTAAAGTCATAAAAAGTGTATACGCTGATACAGTGGAATCAAATTAAAATTCAATGACAGAAAGTTATCTGAAAAATCCCCAAATATTTGGAAATTAAGTAACATGCATCTAAAGAATCCATGGGTCAAAGAAGAAAACAAAAGGGAAATTAAAAGTCATTTTGAACTGAATGAAAATGAAAACACAATTTATCAAAAATCTGTGGTAAGCCACTAAAGCAGTAATTAGGGAAAATACTTGTCTTACAAGAAACATCTCAAATCAACAACTTCAGCTACCACCTTAAAAATCTAGAAAAAAGAGGAACAAACTAAATCTAAAATAAGCCAAAGAAATAACAAAGGTCAGAGTAGAAATCAATGAAATGGAAAACGATAGCAAATGTAGGTGAAATCAAAGCTGATTCTTTGAGAAGATAAATAAATTACACAACCTTCTTTCCAGATTGATCAGGAAAAAAAAGAGAGAGATGACAGAAATTACCGATATCAAGAATGAGAATGGTATCACTATAAATTCCACAAATATTAAAAAAATAATAACAGAATATCACAAATTTTTGCCAGTAAATTTTATAACTTACACGAGATGGATAAATTCTTTGAAATACACAAGGTACCGAAATCACTTAAGAAGAAATTCATAACCTGAATAGCCCTGTATCTATCAGAGAATTAAATTAGTAATTAAAACATTCTTACAAGAAAAGCTCCAAGCCCAGATTATTTCACCTGTGAATTCTACCAAACAAGTTTTTAAAAATACATTACCAATTCTACCCAAACTCTTTCAGAAAACTAAAAAGGGTAAAATATTCTGCAATTTATTTTGAGAGGCCAGAATTATCCTGACAGCAAAACAGACACAAGGATTACCAGAAAGCTACTGATCAAAATACCTGACAAATAAGGATGCAAAAATCTAAACAAAATCTTAACACAATAAATCCAACAATATATAAAAAAAGATAGTGCATCATGACCATGTGGGATTAATTTATTCCAGGAATACAAGGTGTTTTTTTTTTAATCCTTTGAAAATGCATCAATATGATTTACCGTATTAACAAACTAATAAACATAAACTATGATCATTTCAATGGACACAGAGAATTCAACATTCATAATAAATAAAGATTCAAGCACTGTGCCGGGAGTAGGACAGACTGGCTGTGGAACTTTGGGAAGGTCACAGACCTCTCTGGGATTCACTACTTGATCTATAAAAATGCGCCTGGTAATCCTTCAGAGACTAATGTTAGCAGCATGGCGGCATAAGAATTTTCACCCCCAACCCCCAACCCCCCCATCACCCCTCTAACAACCTCCATCAAAAAATCAATTTGAACCAATCCGAGTAATGGCATTGTGGGGACAATTTGAACCGAAAAATCAATTTGAACAGCTGTCCGTGCACAGAAACACTTCACAAGAACTAAGGTTTCTAGGTGAGGGATCATTGCACCTGGGTGAAGCACAAAACTAAGAAAAGATGCTTTGAGGAGGGTAGGAAAGAGATTCACGTTACTCTTATAACCTCTCCCCCAAGCCTGAGCAGCCCAGTGCAGAGAGAGAAACCGTCCCTGTGGAAGGAAAGAGAAAAGTGAGACCAGCTTCACTTTGCACTCCAGAGCCAGCTCCCATGGCTGTAGGTGGCTCCCAGAAGACTTCTGTGTGCATCCAGGACTCTGGCTCATCCCAGCACCTGCTGTCTCCAGGGGCCCCAGCAGCTTCCATGGCACCAGGCTCCCAGCGGGCTCCCACGAACCCAGGTCTCCAAGTCACCCTGGCACCTGCCAGCTCCGAAGGCCCCCAGGTGATCTACACTTGAACCCGGGTTTCTGGCTGGGCCCAGCACTAGGCCAACTACAACCAACTCAGGCTTCTGACCTACCCTGGAACCAGGCTGGCTCCCAGGCTCCTGACACTCCAGCACTCCAGGCCTGCCCTCATGGCCCAGCCTCAAGGCCAGCTCCCTCAGACCCAGGCTCCCCACCTGCCATAAGCCAGACCAGCCCTGCAGACCCACCTCCAGGATGTCACAGCCTCCTGTATACTCTTTAAGTAAACTTAAGCACTCCTCCTTAAGATCCACTTTCTGCATCTTCTCCTGCATGTCTGAATAATTTCCAAATCCTCTTCCCCAGCATGAAAGACAACTATCTCAGTACATCTCACTAGAAAAGACAATTCCTTGAACTTCTTTACCTCAGTCCCAGAGATAATACATTTACAGATCGTCTTCAAAAATGTAACCTGTAGGCCTTCCCAAGTAGAAACGCACAAATCCTTTTGTGAATTAACTAACACTTTAGTATATGACTTTGTGGATCCAACTTAGAGAATCAGAAATTCTCTACAAGTACAATTCGCTACCTTCCCCTGCAGGAAATCATACCAAAAAGCACAGGTGTGGGAACTAGGTAACAAACACCAAACAGTGAAACTTCCCAGTGCCTTCCCAGTTCAGAGGACACCAAGTCTCCAAAGGTATTTAGAAAATCCCAGTCTCCCTCCTCTGTCACACCATCTCAACGAAAGAGGAAGTCTTGAGCTTTCTACTTACCTGTGTAGAGGTCCGTATCTGTGTATTCATCCACTTTCTTGTGCTGCAGAATATAATCAGAGACCTTGGTCCCAATAGCTGGCTGAACATCGACCCACTCCAAGGAGACCACGGTGCTGGAGGGCTCTACTGCTGGGGAGAGCCGCAGCCTAGGGGGGTGACAGGGAAGGTTGTTTGTTTGCCAGCCAGTACTGTCTGGGCCCCAAGAGTTTGCACAGGTCAAGATTAAAAGCACAGGATTCAGTCTGGCTTCAACCCACCACCATACCCCTTGTGTAGACTTAGGCAATTAATTATACCTCTTTCAGCCTCCTTGTTTCCTTGTTCATAATGGGGATAAGAAAGAGCCACCTTTTGGATCCATGTGGAACCCAGTAAATTAATCCAAGTACACAGTGTGTGCTCACAGCAAGTTGATTAGCTTTCCATTGTTTAAACTGTATTCTCAATGATGCTTCACTGTCAATTAAATTGGCAGTGCTTTCAAACACAGTCATCTGCCAACCTCTCTGCCATTCTCTTCAATCCCCCAGTATATCAGTCAATGCTTTAATATCCTTAAATCAATACTCCCTCACAGCGGGCAGGGATCCTGGGGAATCCTTTTACAAAGCAAGACATAACAGAATGTTTGAAGGTGAGAACTGCGGGGGGTGGGGGGGGTCCTCTGAGAGAGGGAAGGGCAATCCCCCCATTTCATGGAAGGTGAAAGCAAAGCCCAGAAAAGGGGATGATCTGCACAAAGTCACACAGCAAACTGGGGACAGAACCATGATGGTGACTTTGCTTGTCCCCAGCCCAGATTCCTTCTCTCTTTCCACTATACCCACTAACTCTGCAAGGACTGTCTTACAATGGACCCTCAGTATTGGCTCCTGCCCAGACCTCCTCCACTCATCACACCACTCTCCCTCTTAATCACACTGCCCCAAGTCAAGATGACCTTCCTTTACTTCCTCAGATGGTGAGTTTCCTGAGTCAGGGCTTTCCCATGGGCTCTGTCTTTTTCCTGAAACACGTCTGTTGCCATTTGCTGCCTGGTAAACTCTGACTCCAATTCAGGTCTTCTCAGAGAGGCTTCCCAGACTATCTCCCTCTCCTCCAAATAAAGCATCCCCTCTTCGTTCTGACCATTAGCACATCTTTGTTTTTCTTTCATATTTTTATTATTTAAATGTTTAAACGGTATCACGCTTTCCTGTTTTTGCTTTGACACCTGTCCCCCTCACTAAACGGTCAGTTCCCTAAGTGCACAGGCTGTGCCTGTCTTGCTCATTTATGAATTCCCCAATGTCTGACACACAGCAGGTGTTCAAAACTTATTTGCTGAATGAATGAATAATATAAAGTTTCTTAGAAAAGGTCCTACACTTCCTTTATCTCAGTAGTCCCAGTGGTCAACACAGAACTGGCAAAGCAGTAGTCAGTGCTCAGTAAACCTTTGTCAAATGGATGAGTGAAGAAAAGTAACGATGGCTGGCTTGGCGCTGTTAAAATAGCACACTCTGCAGTGTAAGTGTCTACCCCCGAGCCACGATTCCATTCTGCCAAAGCTCCCTGCTTTCTCAAAGAAGGAGGTGGGCCCCCAGAGACTTCAGGCATCTGGTGAAGCACCTTAGGAACAGAAGCCAGCCATGGCCTGCACTGGCAGGACAAGAGTATGAGTCCATGGAAAGGGGTGGCCAGAGGAAGAGGGGCCATACATACGTACACCGGCTGCGGGAGAGGGCTGCAGTTGGGGAGCCCACTGGCATCAAAGGCGCTGAGGTCACACCTGCACCAGTCATCGATCACGTCCCCTTTCCCCGAGCACCAGTAGGAGCTCATCAGTGCACTCTTGAAGGCCTGGAATAAAGGAGGACAAAAGAGATGATTATGACAATGGTGGAGAGATGGAGAGTGAAGGTCCCAGTGGCCATGACAGTCACTGACCCAAGCTTCAGAGGAGCTCTCCTGGGCACAGGATACCATCTCTTGCATAAAGCCCCAGCATTCTACCACCGGGTTCTTCTATTTTGAGCCATTCTCCACCCAACAGCCAGAAGGATCACTGAGACAGGATAGTAATAGCATCCATTGAGAACCTCCCCTGGGCCTGACACTCTAAGTATATTAACTTATTTCATCTTCAGTACCTCACACGATAGCTGTAATAAAAATTACCATTATTTCCCATTCTACAAACTGGAAAACTGGGGCACATAGAAGGTAAGTAATTTGTCTGAGGTTCATAGCTACTAAGTGATGGAACTGAGATCCGATCTAAGACAGTCTGGCTCCAGACCCTGCCCTGCTTAATACCTTGCCACACTGCTGCTTGTAGAAATCTGACCACCTCACCACCCTGCTTTGAAACCTTCAGAGGCTCCCCATAGCCCTCAGGATAAAGTCTAAACTCCATGCTCTAGCTCCTGACCACCTTCCTAGTCTCATCTCTCACCACTCCTCTGATTTTCCTTTGCATGCTGCCATCCACCCTCATGCAACCATTAACATTTCCACCAACAGTGAATTTCTGCTTATGAAAAGTGTGCTCTAAATCAGGAGACAGCAAAGTGTTTCTGCAAAGGACCAGACAGTAAATATTTTTGACTTTATGGCCAGGCAGTCTCTGCCACAATAACTTATCTCTGCCTTTGTAGCATGAAAGCGACACAAACTATACTTTAAATAAATGGGCAGGTTTGTGTTCCAATAAAACTTTATTTACAAAGACAGCCGACAGGCTAGACTTGTTCTGAGGTACATTGCTGACCCTTGCTCTAAATGATGATTGATTGATTGATTATTATTATTTTGGCTGTGTTGGGTCTTCGTTGCTGCTGTGCGGGCTTTCTCTAGCTGTGGCGACTGGGGGCTACTCTTCGTTGTGGTGTACGGTTTTCTCATTGCAGTGGCTTCTCTTGTTGCGGAGCACGGGCTCTAGGCACGTGTGCTTCAGAAGTTGCAGAGCGTGGGCTCAGTAGTTGTTGTGCGTGGACTCTATAGCTCAGGCTCAGTAGTTGTGGTGCATGGGGTCAGTTGCTCCACAGCAAGTGGGATCTTCCCGGACCGGGGATCGAACCCGTGTCCCCTGCATTGGCAGGCGGATTCTTAACCACTGTGCCACCAGGGAAGTCCCCTGATGTTCTATTTAATTGCAATGTGCTTCATTGTCTCTCTCCTTTTTTTTTTTTTTTAATACATCCTGTCCTCTCTACTGGAATACTCAACCCCACCCCCACCTTGGAATCCAATTCACTCTTTTGGTCTCAGATGAAACCTTCTTTTCTATGGGAACCCTACCTTGACTTTCTTAAGCCTGTAATCAGGCTCCTCTTCTGGACACCACAACACACTAGACCACACCCATCACATTCCCTTGCCTATCTCACCCAACAGACTTTGATTCCGCAAAGGGCACAGGCCATGTCTTGTTCACATGAGTGTTCCCATGGGACTGAGAACACTTATTCAGTCAATATTTACTGAATAAATGAACAGACACTGAAAAACTGATCATGAGGCTGAGGTTCAGATGTGCTTTATGTTTTCGTCACTCCATTTACACTGACATTTCAAGGCACTGGGGATTCAAAATGTTTGACAGCGCTTTTTCAAACTTGGGGATTCCAGAGAATGTTGATCTCTTACTCCTTTGCCAGGTAACAGACTACCTGCTTGCTTTCTTTATTCTTTTAATTTTTTTTTTTTTTTATTACTTTCTGTGTACTTTTCAAACTAAAGCTTCACAAAACCTACTACCAAGGACACTTGATTACCCAGGTGACACTTTTTCCATCTGGCATTTTTTTGGTTGTTATTTATTTATTTATTTATTGGCTGCACTGGGTCTTTGTTGCTGCATGTGGGCTTTCTCTAGTTGTGGCGAGCAGGGGCTACTCTTCGTTGCGGTGCGCGGGCTTCTCATTGTGGTGGCTTCTCTTGTTGCGGAGTACGAGCTCTAGGCACGTAGGCTTCAGTAGTTGTAGCACACAGGTTCAGTAGTTGTGACTTGCGGGCTCTAGAGCGCAGGCTCAGTAGTTGTGGTACACAGGCTTAGCTGCTCTATAGCATGTGGGATCTTCCCATACCAGGGCTCGAACCTATGTCCCCTGCATTGGCAGGTGGATTCTTAACCACTGCGCCACCAGGGAAGCCCTCCATCTTGCATTGCTGAAAAGACTCAAGTACAGCATGTTTGTGTAAAGTGGGTCTGGGGTCTGCCTCCTTAGCTACTCAGAACACAGATCTAGAAGGAGAATGTGTGTATCAAGGACACTACTGTGTAAGCCTCCAACACATTCCTCTCAGTGCCTCTGATGAGAAGGCTCCGATTATTCCTGCCATATGTCCTTACTCATATCCTCTCCAAGGGGTGAACAAATGATCTAATTTCTCCTGAATTAAGAAGAGTGACCCAAAGAAATAAAAAGAATTATAAGAGCTAATGTTCATGAAGCACCTAATTATACAGTGGAAGGTACTTTAAGGGCATTAAAGTGTAATTCTCACAATAGTCCTGAGACACAGATACTGTGATCTTCATTTACAGGTGAGAACTAGAAACCAGAACAGTGAAGAAATATTCCCAAGATCACACAGCAAGCAAATGATGGAAGCAGAATCCCAACCCAGATCTCTGTGACTCCCAAGCATAGGTCTTTTCTATTTAACCACTCAGGACAGTGGGGTTGACTCCAGGTAGGATTGCCAGATTCAGTAATTAAAAATACAGGATGTCCAGTTAAATTCACGTTCCAAATAAACAACTTTTTTTTAGTATAAATATATCCCATTCAGTGTTTGCATATAAATTATGTGGGCCAGAGTCTGGCACACAATAATAGCACTGTTCTTACTACAAGTTAGAACCTATGTTAGGAACAACATAGGTTCTCCTACTGGCACCAGAGGGGGCACTCTCATGAGGGCAGAAACCAAATGGGATGGGTCATGCTGACTGACAGACTTTCTTTTCCTTCCATTTGCCGGCTCCCTCTGATTTAAATTAACATGTACAACTGCTCGTGGTTTAAGATTCTGTAACATCTCCAGCTAGAGCTAAGGGCTTAATTATCATAATGGTGAGATCCAGGGCCATGGATGAAAGTGACACAGACGGTAAGAGATTGCCTTGGGCTCCAGCAAGGGGAGGAGAGAGAACATCCTGTTTTGTGTACGTGTTTTTGTTTTTGTGTGTGTGCGTGTGCGTGCATGCGTGTGTGTGTGTGTGTGGGGTGTGTGTGTGTGTGGTTTTTGTAATCAATAGTCACTGGAGCTTGTGAAAAACAAAACAGGAAATCTCTCTGGACTTTCTGAGTTTCACCATCCAAGCAGCTCTTGGGAAGAAACATTGCCTGTGAGTCTCCACATCCACTGGCTCTTTCCCAAACCCTAAGGAACAGAACGGGGACTGCAGCAGTGGCCAGGCAAACCGTGGATAGAGCTCAAACACACCCTGATAAAAGGCCTACATCAAACAGGGAGCCCTCACAAGGCAGCAGAAGCCAGCATGCATCAGCTCAGGTTCACTCTTTTCTTACATCTCCAGTCCTTGCAACACTCCATCCCGAATCCAAATAGATCCCAAGGGAGGAACAGCATAGAATGTTCCAGCTTCCAGGGACTCCATAAATCATCTAAGTGAATCTGTTTTACAGATGCACATACAGTGGCCCAGAAATGCTAGTTGGCTGGCCCAAGGTGATAGAGCAACTTTGTGGTGAAATGACTCTATTCCTCCACTTAATCCTCAAAATTACCCTTTGAGATGGGTGTCCTATTCCCATTCACAGACACATGGATGAGTAGGATTTGAACTGAAGTTCGTCTGAATTCTGGCACCCTGGACTTTCCCAGGTCGCACAGGAACTATAAATGCCAAGATTTCATCCAAAACATCCTTTTCAGCTGTTCTGCTTGTATCACGTGCTTATGTGTTGCTTGTTGTGTGCATGTGTGTGTGCCTGTGTGTGTTCTCAGAGGAAAATGAAACCTTACACTAGAGGCATTGTTGACTCCTAGCTTTTGAAAAAGTGAAGGCACTTAAGAAACAAATCCTGTACTTAATACAGGGCTAAGGGCTACATTTGCATGGTCATTGGTTTTCATGACAATGAAGGTTTGCATTTCCACTACTAGTGAACGCTTCCAACTTCCGGCTAATTAGGTAGCAAAGCAAGCCCCTCAGGATGAGAAAACAGCCACAAAAATGTTAAGCAAGCAAAATAAACTAGGATTTATTCTTGACTCTACTGTTAATTCCCTAATTGAACTTTGCATAAGTTATTTCTCTAGTTACGCCTCAATTTGTCCATCTGTAAAATGAGGACACAGAAGTTTTATTTTGGAGGGTTTAATTAACTGAACTTCCTCCTCCGTACTACATGCCATCTAGATGCTGAGAAGGACGATGGACAAGACCCAGTCACTAACTTCAAAGGACTCACAGTCTAGGGATGAAGACGCACACAATTACAATTAATATGGTTCAAATGCTGTGAAGTAACATGCAGGAGGTTATGGGAATACAAAGGAAGAGAACTTTCCAGCTCTAAAAACTTTGACAATGTCTTGGGAATCTTAAACTGCAAGTTAACACTCCATATTTGATTAAGATAGATTCTTGGGAACATCTATACAGAATGTCACTAAGCCTACGAATTAAATTCCATACTCTATACTTACAATGACTATTTTTTACACTGAAAAATTATACTCAGGGGCTGACACCAAGTCTGCTATTTTTGATACGGAGATGGTTCTGCTTTGTATAACCAAAAAGATGCTCTGAAGTCCTCACTCAAAGCTTCATGAGGGCTTCCCTGATGGCGCAGTAGTTGAGAGTCCACCTGCCGATGCAG